GCGCGAAGAGGAAGGCCGAAACCAACCTTGAGTCCGACATCAACATGGTCATGGACGAGATTCAGCTGGCAGTGGAAGACGCCACTGGATCATCGGATGATGTCGCCATGATGGATTGTGGCGCTGGCTCAGTTTTGACGTCAGAGACAGCTGAAGAAGTACCCAACCTACCAGAAGTCATGGAGATGGCAGAAGACTCCCTTCCTGACAATGAAGATCATTTTGCAACGGCGCAGCGGATGAAACTTCTCCAAGATTGTGCACTTGCTTTTGTGAAAGCCAATCATTCCGCATCGCTTCGTCGTGCCCTGCTCTCGCAAACTCGTCAACAACCAGGCCCTTTCGACGCGCACAGTCTCGTGATGTACAAGAGGAAGGGACTAAAGCGCAAGGCGTACAAGCAGTGGCAGCAGCATGGACCAGCCAGAGTCATTGGCAAAGATCTTCAAGGCTACTGGACCACCCATCGTGGCGTGCCAATTTTTGCACATCGTCACAACACGAGGGAGGAATAGGTGAGGAACAAGAGCTGATGTTAGAAGATGACAGCAGTTGCTTCCAAAGGCAGGACAGCAAGGCTTTCTAGACCTATCAAAGCCACAAGACCCCATCGAGCTGGAGGAGAACTTCGAAGATAACAATGAATGTGAGCCTTCAGAACCTCCTGGAGATGATCAAGCAAAGCCGTCAAAAGAAGATGAAGATGAAATGATCAAGACGTACCAAGATGAGTGCACTTCAAGTGGTGATGAGTCCCGGGAGGTCCGGGAGATGAGAAGGATTGAAAGAAGTGAAAAGAGAAAGAAAGAAACCGAAGAGACGACAGAAGCAGCAGATGAGCAGATAGGACAAAAGGTCTTCGCAGGCCCAAGAAGATCAAGGAGAGTTCCAGCAAGAAGAGGAGAAAGAGGAAAAAGACACGTGAAGATTCCCAAACCCAACAGAATGCTGGATAATGAATTGCTTTTGGATGATGCGCCGGAATCCATCCGAGGGGCAATCAGACGAATGATTGATGAGAAAGGAGCCGAAGGTTCAGATGGTTCAGAGGTCACTTTGACCCCAGAAGAGGAGGAGACTATGTGTGTTGCCTTTTTGGCTGAGCGCTTTGACACCTACACCAAGCGCAACAAGCAGACAGAGTTGCATCCTCAAAAGATGAAGTCCCAGCTTCTGCAGTTCACGGATAAGGAGATTGAAGAGGCCATCCAAAAGGTTGTGGAGAAAGAGATAGGGACTTGGCAACGTTTTGATGCCATAGACATCGTTCCCCCTGATGAAAGCCAGGAGATCAGGGAGGCCAGTCCAGAGAAAGTGATCTCATCATCACGAAGCGTCTGGACAAAGAAGGGTGATGAGAAAAGAGATGAAAATGAGAAAGAAGACTTTTTTTGAAGTGCAGGGTGGTCGGCAGAGGTTTTCAGGAAGAGTATGACGAATCCCTTCGTCGCCAACATGTTCAACACTGCTCGTTCAGGTCATTTGGAGCCTTGCGTCCTCCCGCTTCATGAAGTTGACCGCAGCCGATGTTCGTGGAGCATTTTTTGCAGGGATTGAAAATTGATGAGCTGTACTTTGAACCGCCAAAGAACTTGGGAAAGGCTCAAATCCCAGGTGTTCAACCAGGTGCACTTCTCAAACTAAGTCAATATGGCGTGAACGATGCTGCAAGACAGTGGTACCATGCCATCAAGGGTATCCTCCTTCGTTTGGGCTGGGAGAGTTTGACTTTCGAGTTAACGTCCGGGGAGGGTGTGAAGGTCTTCAGGATCCTGGGCCGCCTCCCTGATAGTGCCCCATGCTGCTGTATTTGTTTCTTGTAGCATGGTGTACATCCATGTGAAAGCGTGCCAAGGTCGTTTGCGAGGCGCTGAGCGCTCGGGTTGCCAACTACCATTCGTCAGGTAAGGCAAGCTGCAGGTTGACAGGATGGCGCAAGGCAGACTGACCAACCCTCAACGGTCTCTACTCTTTGATGCAGTTAATCTCAGCTTCCAGGGCTCTCATCAACATGTTCGAAAGTAAGAACGGTGACCCTCCGGAAACTATGGGCGCCAGAAGCTTCAACCGGCCGATTGCGTGGTTGCTTGGGAGCGTTACTTGAATACTAAATCGAAACAGCGCTTGATTGCGTCGGATGGCCGGTCCAAGTCCTTCGATCAACGCTAGGACATGGTTGGCGCCAAAATGACAGTCTTTATGTGGCCCTAAGCGCGCAAGAGCGAAGCTGGTGTGAGAGGCAAAACACATATCATGCGCCTGACTTTCCGAACCAGGACATGCTTCAGAACTGGAAAAACGATTCGTTGTGTGGATCATTGCTGATGGTGCGACCTTCGAGGTTTCTTCAAAACTTTGAGTTCAGGGGATGCGCGCTCACGGTATGGTTCGTATGCTCTAATCCTGGCGATCACCGTGGCGATACGACCGGCTGGTGGTGTCAAAAACTTCCACTTAAGAATGAAGAGGGTTTCCCCCAAATTCCGCGTGGCTACTACACTGTGATGCAAGTACAAATGGGTTCGTCTGTCCTCTTCGTCGATCGGAGAGGCTTGCGCGTTCAGTTCTGGCAGGCGTAAGGTCCATCCGACTGCCACTGGACCCTGAGAGCGACTTCAAAACGATGACTTGCCTTTTCCCTTGCCACCTTCTTTCGACAGAAGCTTCTCTTCCACTTTCTTCCGCGCCTCAGTGTGCGACGTATAGGCTTTTGCCAACTCATGGTCAACCATGTATCTCCAGCTTCGAAGTCCAATATGAGGAGGTTCAGTCGCCATCATGGCGGTAGGCCAAGTCCTGAAAGAAGGAAGCGCCCTGAATCGCCCAACATCCACACCGCTTCACCAACACGTTGCACTGACAAGTGATCAGCGAAAGAGCCATCTGCCTCGGGGATCACTAGCTTATGTGGTGGCCAAATTGTTTGGCCAGGCTTTGCCTAAGCGTGCGGATACCGCAGCTCTCCAAAAGTGCCACAGGCTGGATGCGACTCAATGGATTCATAGTTTATGTTGCAGATTGCGAAGCTTGAGTATCCTTGCGGTTCCAGGCCTTGTTCAATCTCTGCTTGATCATGGCGATGCGCAGAGTGCGCAGAGAACAGCCTGCCGTGGACTATGACCTACAGCGAGATTGTGAAATACAAGTCGTCGAAGAACTCCACAGGCAAAACAATGAACTACGTCAACAAGTTGTCAACCTCCTTAGCGAGAAGGTTGCTTTGAGATCTGAGCCTCTGGCGCCGTTGGGTACACCTCCTGCACGACAGGCAGAACAGCGGAGATGACAAGTGGATCCGTGGACTGCTTGATCGACGACGTCTAAGGTGCAGTCAAGTTGACCAAAACACGCATAGCCTCCGTGGAACTGACGTTTTAGGCCCTTTAGGCGATCTACGGGTGTGGTGCGTTGGCCAGGACCCATCGTGGTGAACAGGGAGGGAGACTCGCTCAAGGTGAAGCTTTTCCTGGCTGGACCAGGAGCGCCGTGTAGAAGTTTCGCGAGGCCATCTGCAGAGGTCCATTGCCTTGCGCCTGATGAGCAGCCCAGCCGCTTTCACGATACACCGACGACCTCAGAAGAGCGGTTCCGTTGTCATCATAGATGCATCTCTGGATCCGCATCCCTGTAAAGCATTCCACCAATGTCGCCGCTCCCTCAGCAAGTTGGTGCACTTCCATATAGTATGAGGAGTTCGGCCTCAGCCGTCAACCCGTGACAAATCGAACCAGCCAGCATTATTGCAGTCCCCTGCTGAAGGAGATCGTGAATGGGGGGCTGGCGTTGTCCTCTCGCTGGCGGTGCTGTTAGTTCGTCCGGAGAAGTACACTGTGGCGCTCGATGTGATCGCGGTGGCGCTGATGATGGCAGGTGCATCAACGTTAAAGCGGGTGAAATCAAAATGGGATAGGGAAATAAACCATCCCTGGGGTGGGCCCGAGAGTGGTGCGAGAGGGTTACCCGCAGTGCGTGGAAGGGAGCAGGCCCACAATGAACTCTCTGCGGGGAACCTTAACCCCTCCTGACACTACTAGCCTACAAGGCTCGCGTGGTGGCGCGGGCATGGTGAAGATTATGGTCGATGTGAAGAGCCGTGGTGGCATCCGCCACACAATGACCCGCCCATCAATAACGGTGAGGATGAATTTGCATTCAATCAGGCCTACGACGGCTGAAAGTGGCCATGAAATTGGCTTGGAGGGCCTTGAGCCTGGAACACATTTTAGCAGGTTTGGGCAAAGCCCAAAGGGGGAGTGCAGAGGGAAACCCTTTGGAGTCATGTTAGAGCCAAGTTGGAAGCCATCGAGCCAACCAACCGAAAGACCCTTTTAGAGACTCAAAAGCCTTGCGCACTTCATGGGGCTTGGGGGAGTCTTGTAGCAGCTTGAGATCTTACGAATGTTGCCTTTGTCTACTAAGACGAAGACCTCACATATTTACCTTGTGTGTGGCTGTCGCAAGATCGTTCTGCTCTTGTATATTGGCTTTGCCAACTTTTCTATTCTGCTTAGCTGTTGGGACTCCCTTCAACAGAGCTAGAAACGTTTACCATTTCTCCTCATTTGGCCATGTAGCTTGATGATTATGGAACAAAGAGTTAACCATGCAGAGTGTCCAGATACACATTGCATACAGCGTGTGAGAGGTTTATTTTGACATAGGCCAGAGCTTGTCAGTGTTTAAGTGTCAAAGAGCTATCATGAGTTTGTATAGTCGAGGATTGACCGTGCTGATCTTGACTGAATTTGCGTCGAAGAATTGCATCGAAGTAGTTATATGCAAGTGAAATTCATTTTTCAGATGAAGTCATCACAAAGGCAAGTTGCCCCCGTGTAAAATGTTTTTGTAGGAGGTTTTGGATTGCTGATTTTACCACAAATATGAAGATCGTGTTGTTTGTGACAAGTATTCTGGTGGTTACGAAAACGAATTATATATAAGGATAGAACCTGTGTTGACCGCAAAAGGAAGACCAGGTTTGCCGCTGTTTGCGTCCTAAGGCAAAGACTATCGCTTGCAGCAATATTTGAAGTCTGCCCTGCCGGATGAAGAGTTGCGCGCTTTTTACGAGAAGATGCAGGAGAATAAAACAAATTGACGTCATTGATTGATGAATCGATATTCTTTTTCCCCATTAGCATCAAGATTGGGGTTATGCATTGCTAGGTGGTAGGATGCGTGTGGGTCCACAGCCATTCCTTTTGTTTGTTGGAACAAGCAGCTCCACAGAAAGAACAAGTCAATTGAACGTGGAATAGTATGCTTCTGCTGACAAAGCAATCACACGTCACACATGCACATATATCCTAAATCAATCAGCAGCCTTTAGTGGAACCACTCATAGGGTGCGCTGCCACTGGTTCAGTGCCATCTCCGCGCAATAGCAGCGCCAGCAAGCTTAGAAAGATGTCCCAGGGCGCGCTTGTTGGGTCATGCTTGGAGAGTGTTTTGCTTCTAATTATGTTGAACTCATGTCAATGACATAGTTATAGTCATAGTCGTGTCCTGTAGCAGTGTCGCTGTTGGGTTTCCTGGGGGTGAAGTTAGGAGTTTTGTTTTTCCTGCAAGACTGTCGCTTTGTGTTTATAACCTGCTGTCAGCGATGAATGCGGCACGGAGCAGCTTTGCTGCTGTACTTTGGAGTGTGGGAGGTTTGTATACCTTCGAAACGGCTGAAGCATAGTGGCAATCGGCTTGCTATCCAGATCTGTTGCTGGGTCAATGTCGTTGGTTTTGCTTTAGGCCATAGACCAAGCCTTGCTTTAGCATTTTTTGAAAGTTTTGTTTTGTGACGTAGTTGACAAGTAGACGCACCCGGCTTTTGTGTGAATGGTCTTTTGCACTCACCCTTGCATGACTTGCGTTCTTTGTAAATCGTTCGTTGGCGTGAGATGCAAGGGGTAGGTCACTTTTAAACAAGGTCTGAAAGACATTTTCTCCATGAAGAATTACTCTGGTACCTGAAGAATGGGTGGGCCTGAAAGGAGCAGGCTTCTGAACCAGCGCCACCACCCGCCACTTGGACCATGTTGGCCTGACTTGCTGCGTTTGCCATAGGCCTTTGTTGGACCTTTGACTGCTCACAAAGAGCCCGATGTTCACATTGTGAATTCCCAGCTTTGCATGCATAATGAGCAGCTCAGGAATTCACAGTTGCAATGAAGGCGCGGACAAAGATCAGGTGAGTGCGCCACATCAAGTGCACCACAAGGGAGAGACGGGTCCTTTTCCACTTCACGAGTTTTCAGGTCGATGCAATTTTCCGTTTCGCGAGAATTTGTTGTGCCCATTGAACGCCATTGAGTTTGCATAGATGAAACTGATACAAAACAGACTCACACGTGCAAAAGCGACACTGAACGCTGCTCTTGCAAGATTCCACTACTTGATACATTTGGTGAGAGAAGAAAGAACATCACAGACTATATATAGAGTGTTTCAGACTTAGTTTTTGTCCTGGTTGAATGGAACCTGACAATCATGGTAGCATGCAAGCTGGGAACGGCGAGGCCGTCCAAAGTTTCTTTTTCTTACCCTAGCAGCTGTAAAGACTTATATGGCTATTCATGAGCAATGAACAATTAAACGTTCGCAACGTGAATAATTGGGTTTTGCCAGTTGCTCACGAGGGCGGTTGTTTACTGCGGTGGCTGTTTGCACTGCGAGGCAGAAGATATCCTGTCAGCACTTCGTCTGCTGTGATGGTGTATACGGCGACGGTATTGTGACACCCGGGTTTTAATTTGATTCCATACAATGGTGGTGTAGTGTAGTGTGTGTTGAAGTTGTATGGCAGGTTCATGATGCGAAAGAAGAACAGAGTGAACTTTGCAGCCTTCTGGGCTCAAATGCCCTTGGGCTCACGCCTCACGGCCTGCAAAGGCCAGGGAGGTGTCAACAGAGGTCGTTTGCCACCGATGAACGACCTCTTGTTTTGCTTTCGCCATGGATGTGTTCTCCTTGATTCCACCTTCCCTGCATGATCCTTGGTTGGGCTGCGCTCGAGGAATCTTGCAGCGTTGGCCGCTGAACCATGTCTCTAGTGGGAAGATCTTCGTGATGAGAAGCCTGTGGGGAGTGAGGTTGTTCCATACGACCGCTTCGCCCACATGCACCGTGCTAGGTGGGTGGGCGTTTACATCAGAAAGGAAAGGATATTCCATGCCTTCCTTCACCAACCAGTGATTGAACCTTGGTCTGCGCAAGCGTAAGTTGGAGATCCGAAGATGCTGGCCCCACCAGCCTACACTGAGTGCGTCAGAACAAAAGATCTATTACCAAGAGGGCTAGGATTCCACACGATGCCAATTGTAACCACGTATTGCCAAGACCTTGACAAGCCTGTGCCAACATTGTGTGACAGTTGCGCTGCGCAACATCGCCTTGGAGTCGAGAGGGATTTGGCTGTCATCAAGAATGATGGTACTGACCCGTTATCGTCGTTGCCAGGCGTCTCGCAAACTGTACTTTTCGCCTGTCCGCCAAAGCGCGTCTTGCATGTTGGACATTTCCATTGCCATCGTTCACGCCCTCCTTGCTCTCTTGACAAGCATTTGAGCAGTTCGGCGCAGCGATGGCCTTCACTTTCAATGCTTCATCATTGGGAATGCTTCTTCATCTTGTGTCACGCCCCACTTGGTCATGACATAAGGAGATTTACAAGTGGCTGCGCCAGTCGCAGGCGACGTTGGCGCCATTAGACTGAGTGCTGATTCCCAAACGCTGGCAGCCGGTGGCAGGCGCACCACCTTCTTGCATCCTCCATGGAGATCCCCCATCCGGGCGCATCTTTTGCTCAACCAGCCTGACGCCAAGATAAATCATCACGCTTGTGTCGCTCCTGGATGGCTGTCACTCCGCTCATCAAGCAAAAATTATTGTTCGGAGTGCCTACATCGAGTGACAGTTTGAGACTCTCTTTCTCCTACCTGCAAGGGCTGCCATGTGGCCCGTGATTCATCGCCTGGTGTGGAAAGTCCGTCCAATGTAGTCACTGTAGTCTAATCTTCCTAACATCAAGTCAGCTGGTCACCTTGATCACACCGCCTACTCCCAGAGGCTCTAGCTGGCTCTTTCTTTAACGGCCGCTTGCCTCCGTCAATGGACAGCCTTTGCCCGAAGACGCTGTCCACCTTTCTTATGGCGACTTCATGCGCAGAGGCTTCCTGCAGGCGCAAAGCGGGGCAATGACAAGGTGTACGGCGCGCGTCGAGAGAAATGTGTAAAAGGCGCACTCAGAAACAGAAAACTACACAACAGAAAAAGGTAAAACCTGGCAAGCCCGGCATTCGAATGTTCTTGAAGACCTGGCCTTGCAGGGCGAGCGCTCAACTTGTGCTGGCGTTGGCTGCAAAGATGCAATGGCCAAAGCGACGTGTGCGCGGATGGCATCTTAGGAAGTATCATTCGAAGACGAAAGCAATGACAAGTTGGAAATCACAAAGGGTCGAGAGTCGGCGCGTCGAAACGCAACTATCCCACCGACCACGATCCAACGCGCATGGTTGGCTGCTGCTTTCAACGAGGACAGCTGTGGGGAGCGTGCCCAACGGCCTCCGTACCCTGCGTGGTTTGCGCTGGATTGCTTCTGAGGTCTGACAAGATGGCTCCACCTGCAATTTGCGGCAGACTACTTTGCGCGAAGACCACCCTTCTCGGGCCACTGCCCCTATGTGGGTGGCTTTGTGACTGTTGTCTATCGTATCCGCAACACTCAAGGTATACTAGCGTAATTAGGCGCTGCTTCCCTGCGCCTTCGCATCGCGTCGCTTATTGAGACAGCTTCAGCTATAGAGCCACGCAAGGCCGAATGATCTTCGTCTATGAGGACGTCGGGACATAAAGAAAACAGATGATGACGACGATGAGGACGATGATGATGATCATCATGATGGTGATGATGACGCTGGTGGTTGTAGTGGTGTTGGTGGAGATGAATATGACATGATAGTGGGAATGTACTGCGTGTAGCAGGAAGCCTGGAAGTGCGTCGGTTGTATTAAGGCGCTTGGACGTGGCCCAACCAGATCAGGCTTTCTGGCCAAAGATGCCATTTTCGCACTCAGCTTTTGAATATGCGACGATGCGCAATGTGTAGTTTTTAGTTTTTTACTTCTGCCAGTTGCCTTTGTTGCTTTGGTTTGTGTTTGGAACCACTGACCTGGATCGGTTGTGTTTTGGTTTCTGCTTGGACCATACTATGCTCGACCAGGGTTCAAGGAGAGGAGGAGGAGCCCTCGGTTGCCGACGTGTGAATCCACTAAATCTTCAGATGACAGTTCCTGCGCTATTCTTCCTCTGGATGTGTGAGAAGAGGGTGCAGCCTTCAAAGGGTTGTGCCGGGTGTGTATGTTGTCAACACTACCACCTCCTACTACCATGCTCCCGTGTCCCTAGAAGAGGGCAAGTTTGGTAGGGCGTGTGCGCCAGGTGTGGGGCTTCAGCGGCATTCGGAGCCCTGTGACAGTGCAGAGATATGCCTACCCTGTGCCCATGCTGCCTGCGTGTGCCATTTGTGAGCCCTCGGTAGAGTTGTATGGCGCAGGGGCTGTTGTCCTGCCTTTGGAGTGGCCTGGATTTCAATCCATTGGACCAGAAGCGCTTGGTGCGATACTTACTGCTAGGTAGCTGAGTTTGTAGAGTGTCACTACAAGAGGAGCCCACAGTTCAATCTGCCAAGAAACAGCAATGCGCTCGTTTACTTCAAGGCTGCCTATAGGTGGTCGCAGCAGGTCGCGCTTCCTGATTTCCATGCGCGCTCGTCAACGTTTTTGGCCCAATCAAGGCACCGCCCTCCCACTTAAATCGCGTGGTTGGTTTCTGCCTTCCCACTTTTAGACCTTTTCAGCCACCATGCCTGTAATCAAAGGTGAAGGGAGAAGACCCAAAAGTAAAAGAAGAAGGCAAAACAGAGGCAATGAAGTGCAACGACATGGTCAAACTATTGGTTTGGAACCTTTGATTTTTCCGTGTGCTTTGGATGTTTTGGAGCAGCAGAAGGAAGTGCTGATCTTGCTTCAGAATGATGTGGAAGCAGGTGAAATCTGAAGTGAAAGCCGAGTTGAAAATAAAAGAAGAGCGGAAGGACTGTGTGGGCGACAGTTGGCTTTCCTTCTCATAACTCATAACCCTCGAATTGTGACGTGTATGGAGGCATATACACATTTGTGGAACGACGCCAAATTTGTACATCTCTCTAGGGTTGCAGTTTTGGTAGAAGTGGAACTTCAATCACCGATGCCAAACTAAGCGGCGCCGCAAGGAGAAAAAGGGGAACAAGGAGACGAAGGAGACCCTGTGGGAGAGTAACCGCTTTGCGCGTCTTTGAAAACTTTGGGTTCTGTTGCGACCAGCAAGCTAATTCTGGTGCTGACAACAGGTGCTCCTGACAATAAGTGCGTTTTTGTACACATGTGCCCCTGCAGACGGCTTCTCCGAAGACTTTAGCTTCCCATCACATATTTCAATGGGCTTTAGCTTCCCACTGCATATATCCAGGCTTCGGGGGTGGGGGTGGGGAGGCAATGAGCATCCGTGTTCATTTGCGGGGTTTTTGGCTCCATGAGGGAGTTGCCGTTTTCGTCGTTAGCTTCTTTGTGTTTAGTTCTGTTGTTGCGTTTGTGGTAGGTAGGCCACACGAGCTTTCTTTTCCCGGTCCCTTGTTACCATTTTCCCAGGTTTACTGTTTGCAGGCATCAGGCTTTAGGTCAGGTGTGTTTGGACATAGTGTTGGACCTGGATTGTTTTCCCTTGCGTTTCGCGTGTCTCGAGCGCTTTCATGAAAATGTTGTCTCGTTCTTGGCTGACAGTGTGATCACAAAATGCAAAAGATAGATTCGTTCCCCCTTACATCACGGCATCTTTTCTTTTGTTAGCGTTGTGGAACCTGTGAATGAGCTCGTCGCTGAGAAAGGAGAAAAAAGGGCTGACTCACAAAGGCGCTGATGTTGAGGAGCATCAGAAACCACTGCGTTTACCCAATGCGAAATAAGGACGTCCAAGTTTCACTGCGCTC